GACAAATATGTGTCAACTAGATGGTAATGGGTTATATGGGAACAAGAATAGATTACACTGACTTAGAGAGAAATTAAAGATCATATATGAGATGAAAATCATTTAAGTGGTCTGGAAAAATGAAATGGTTTGACTTGTGTTTTCTTTCATGAAATATGAGTTCACAACAGAATAAATTGACATATCCAATATTTAATTAAGTGATTTTTCTGATAACTTCCACTATAGAGTAAATTTTGCAATAAGCCATAGGATTTGCCCCTAAAAATGCATGTTTTGTGGGCCCAGTTGGCTCCCTAAAAACAAAAGATAATCATGAGCCCTGTAATAGGATGAAAAGACGCAAGTTTACGATTTGGAAAAAAACTGTATGCTTATGAAATAAGTTGCCATCAGCAGTAGCGTGGTCAGCACTTTAAAGGTGTGTAATAGGATGTGAATCTGTGATTTCCTGAAAAATAAAGGAAAAAATGTGCAAGGACATCCTCAAAGGACCAAATAATCCTTTGTTGCTCCTATGTTATGAATAAATTCTTATCTCAAACACATGTAACTTACAATGTTGTACCTTAAAATCACAATGATAATTATGAAATTGTAAAATAATTTTCTTTAGGTCAGGAGGTAAATTATTCAATATATCTGCTGATAAGTTTCATTTTTGAATTACAAAAATATTACTGCATTCATTAATTCTTATATAAAACTTTAGTGATGAAATTAGCAAATAAGACATTACTAGGTGCAGTAGTTTTTTAACAGTTTTATTTTGCAAATAGGAACAAAAACTAAAGAGCTGAAATAAACATACACCTGGGAGGTAAAAAGTACAGATCTTGGCACCTTGTTTAATGAAGAAAATCGAGTTCCCACAAACCTTTCAGCAAATCACATTATTCTGTGAAACATATCCCTTTAGAAATAAGTTGATCTTCAAATATACAATGTTAAAAGCATAAAACTCCAGAAACATTTTTAATATAAGCTAAATAACAAGTCTGCAACAGGCCAACATTTCTATGCTAGAAATTTTTTTTGTAAAAACATCTGATTGAGTTCATATAAGAATTTAAAACACTAGTTCTTCAACTATAAAAAAACATGAACATAATTGCATGAAGCATTTAACAAACATTTCAGCATTCCATCTTCGGTAAGCTTAAGATACAAAACAAAGATCATAGTATAATTTGTAATAAATAATAAGTAAACAATTTGAATTCCTATTATTCATTACAGATTATATCATATGTATGGTGTAGTAATTACCATTATGTTTGCTTCGTACTGAAGGTTCTGAAACATCTAATAAAAGCTTGATGTAATTATGTTGTGTTTTTCTTTATTATACTATTATATTGTGTTTTTTGAAAAATCAATCAATTACAGACTATTCAGTTACATTTAATAAAACCTAAAAATTAATTTTAAATATTGGTTCTCATTACTAAAATATTAATTAGTGAGAGATATGTAGAATGATATGTTGTAAATTTTAATGAAGATAACGGTGACATTACACTGTCAGTAAATTACACAATAAAGTAGCTTAAGTGTATTTCTAACTTGTGTTTTAATATATTATAATTTCATCAAAAGTTTGGAATGCTTTCATATTCTAGTCATTATACAAAAATTTGTGGTTGTTACAGTAGAAGTTATATTTAACCAATTTTCAGTCGTTAAATACCAAAATATGCACTGATAAAATCGGACCACAGCTTATTTCCAAATACTACATTTCACAGACTTCTAAAGTTTAGAAAAGTAATTATTACACAGATCATAACTACTTGAAATCTTTCAAACCATATTTATGATGATGATTCATTTGCAGTACAAAAAATTCTACATTAATTATTGTTTAATACTTTGGTCCAATAACTAAAATAAGTTTAATTCCAAAACTGTATATACACATTTAAATATTTCAGAATGTTCTTGTAGAAAAATTTCCTTACTTTCAGGAAAATAAATTTTTAATTCCAGCAAAGTTTGATCACAACAAAATGTTCATAAATATGTTTTAAACATTTTATCATGTACGTTATTATTATTACTGTATATATACTTCACAAGTTGTGAAGCAACTAAAGCAAACATACTTTGGAATCCTATCACAAACACACTGAATCTTTTTTTCATATCTTAATGATAGCTCGGAAACCATCTTAAACTTTCACACCATGATCAGAGATGTTGTCGTAGCCAGGAGGGCCCTCTGACAGCTCGGAGCTTGCATCATCTTTCTCACAAATACTTCGGTATTGAGCTTCAACTGTTTGAACGTTGATTTTCTCTTCGGCTTGTGTCTTGGCATTTAGAGATTTGTCAGTAATGCCATAGATAAGACTGCTAAAAGCCTAGAGAAATTAATGATGAGTTACTACTAACTATATTATGAGAAAAAAATTGACATTTTGATATTTTACTAAAACTTTACTCGAGTTAAGCATAGCTGTTATTATACTTAGTATTGACCATATAATCAGCCAGTAGTTTTCTTACTATGTGCAACCATTATTGACCATATAATTAGCCAGTAGTTTTCTTACTATATGTAACCATTTAATTCTTTTAAGGTCCATTTTTTTGTTTTCTGTTTGAGTTGGTGCCATTTGCATAAGTATGACCCTGCAATTGCAGGAGGGGGGGGGGGGCAAAGGGCCTGACAAACTTAAGAATTGCCAACAATGGGAGAGACATATAATTTAATTTCTTTGAACTAAAGGGTGGTTGTAATATTCTGTTAAGTTAATGATCATCACAATTTTGCTAAATACAGGGTTGAGAATGCTACATTAAAGCTATTTTAAATATGCAAGTCACATGACAACCACAATCGGTATAAAGTTGCAGTTTACACTAATAGATTATGGATAGCTTGAATGGAGAAATAGTGTTTTTTGAACACGACAGAGCACTTTGCAATAAAAATAACCCTGCAGGGATATTGTTAAGAGGCACGGTTATCAGATAGAACATGACCTGACACAGTGACACATACTGTAACAATGTGGCAAGTCTCAAAAATTGTTTTAATACAGTATACTCAGTCCTCTGTAGACTTATATTGAAGAAAGTATTTAGACTACTTACAATACTGGTGGGAGGAGGCTTGGGTTCAAATTTCTTTTCTCGCTGTCTCTGAGCATGTTTTAAAAAAAAAACTCAATTAATAACATTCACAGTATGTTTTTTTCAAAACCTACACCTTCTGATAACATTTTCTAATACAATGCACACATTTTGAATAATTTCATAATTGACAGAAGATGAAGAGTAGTTATTCATTATTCTTGACGGTTCTACATTTTTATTTTTGCTAAACAATTTATTAATTTCTAGTTATTTTGATTCATGAAAAATATAGCTAATTGTAATTAACACTAGTTAAAATATCATATTTACCAATAAATATTATTACTCGGATTATCCTGGCAATGACGGTACAAAATATAAAAAATGATGATAATATACGATTATAACAGTTATTACACTGATGTTATGAATGGTCTCATGTTAATAAATATAGACCCTCCAGGTTCACTTGTACACAAAAACTGTCTCATGTTAACAAAGATATACCCTCCAGGTT